TTATCATGCACATATCTAATATGGACATGATTTAGCAAATCGCCTCAATCAAGGAATCTGTCAATATCCTTTATTGAGATAAACACTCTTGAGTTTTCCTTACTAGAGCATAAGCCTATCTATTTAAACTTAGTTATGAAGTACGCACTTCACTTGAGCTTATATTGTAATCTTCTTTTATCTTTAATAAAACTTTGTACACACTTGAGTGAACAAATGAAAATAAAGGAGAAAGAAAGATCTAAGTGTAGGTTATACAAGTAGAGATTGTGTCAAAGAAGGAGATCTTATTTGCATATCAGACATGGCTCTCAATTGTAACACTTTGTAACACCCTAGTTCTCATCAAGCTTTTAAGGAAATGCTTGTAACCCAATGGGACTGGAAGTAGGCACCACATCGGTGTTTCAAACCAGTATAAAAACTCTTTGAGTCTTTTACTTATTGCATTTTTTCTTACCATATACGGTCTGAATGGATTTTTTAACTCCACCCCCCCCCCCGCACACATACACCCCTTAACTTTCAATTGGTATCAGAGCAGGTCTCACAGACCAAAAGACTTATATAAATTATATGACCTTATATATTTGAGATACATGAATTTGGACGCGTCAGATACATGTATTCGAAGTCCAAAATCTAGTAGGATTTGTGATATTACAAATTAGCATCAATCTAAGTAATTAGCACCTAAACTAGTGAAATTTCTGTAAGTTAACAAAAAAGTAGAGAAATAATAATGTGAATTCATGTTAATCGTCTGAATGTAAATAAACCAACAAAATAAGTAGTCAAAAAAAGGATAGAGAAAATATATAAAAATCCCCCCTGAACTTGGCTACAAAACTTACTTAACACTTTAACTTTACGGGTAATTGTTTACCCCCTAATCTCTTTTGAAGTGAATTAAAATACACCCTAATATTATAATACCAGTCTCACAATGGCAAGTGCATTCCACACGCGTCATGTCATTGATACACCAGCGCCACATCAACACCACATTAAACATTATTTAAATTTTATTTTTAATTCTTTTTTTGTTTCTTTTTATTTATTCACAATTTTAGAAAGTAAAAAATAATCTCAAAAATAAGAATTAATCCATGATTATAAGAAAAATAATCTCAAAAAAGAACAAATTTTCAGTTGAAAGAGATTCAAAATCTCAAAACCATTCTCACAAAAACACATTCAATTTTTAAGACACATAATCAAAACAAACAAATAATAACACCTGAAAATTTAATTTGAGATGAAAAAATTATAAATTTTCATTAAAAAGAGTTTAGTTCATCACATTCAAACATTGCCATAAATACTAATTTTAATTTGAAGCAAGAACAAATCGATGATTTTTCTATTTTTTCTTTGTTCATCACATTTGTTGGGTTTTACTGATAGAAAGGAAATGAGGGTGGGATGGGGGCATCTTGAAGGAGAAAAAAAAATGGAAAGTTCAACAAAGAAGAAGAAAAAAAAAGGGGTGGATTGGGTGTGAGGAAGATGAAGGGGCGGGAGGTGGGGCTGGGGTTGGTGGTACTAAGGGCGGGGGTGGTAGGGTATGAAGAGATGAAGAAAAAAAAAGATTATTGGCTAAAAAGAAAATAATGGAGGCCCACTTATTCTTTTTCTCTTTAATTTTTTTTTTGTATAAATACACTTTTATTTTTTTGACTTGCCATGTCAGCGACTTGGGTGTATTTTAATTCACTTAAAAATATGTTATGGGATAAATAATTATCCATCAAGTTAAAGTGTCAAAATTAGTTTTGCTGCCAAGACCAGGAGAATTTTATGTATTTTCCCAAAATGATACTATAATTACTTCAATTTTAACGAGTTTCCCCTAAGTCCTAACCACAAGGGCCCAAAAGCTTTAATGAGCACATCAACCAGTGGGCCTATTTACTCCATGAGCCCAATACAAAACCCTAATTCTCATAATACATAAGCTATTTTATTCCTCCATAGCTAAAACCTCAGAGAAATTTTCGACTTTGGCCATCAGAGTAAGCAAAACCAAACAAAGCAGCTAAAATGCAGGCGGCACCGGCGACAGTGGAGTCCGTGCAATGTTTCGGGCGGAAGAAGACGGCGGTGGCGGTGACACACTGCAAGCGTGGTCGTGGTTTGATCAAAATCAACGGAGTTCCTATCGAGCTTGTTCAGCCGGAGATTCTCCGATACAAAGCTTTCGAGCCAATCCTCCTTCTAGGTCGTCAACGATTCGCCGGAGTTGACATGAGAATCCGCGTGAAAGGAGGAGGTCATACTTCTCAGATCTACGCTATTCGTCAGTCAATTGCAAAGGCTCTTGTTGCTTTCTACCAGAAGTATGTTGATGAGCAGACGAAGAAGGAGATTAAGGATATTCTGATTCGATACGATAGGACTTTGCTTGTTGCTGATCCTAGACGTTGTGAGCCTAAGAAGTTTGGTGGTCGTGGTGCTCGTTCTAGGTTCCAGAAATCTTACCGTTAATTTACGGTATCTGTTCTATTGCTATTGGTGCTATGCAATTTTGAGTATGGTTTCGGTTTAGGGATTATTATTATTATCTATTTACCATTAAAGCTATCTGAGTAAGTTTTGGATTTTGATTAACCGTAATGTAGTTGTTCTACAGTGGAATGATTCTATGTTATGTATGCAGTGAAATATGTTTTTTCAATGCAAAATTAGAACTTATGTTATACAGTGGTCCATTTGCTTGATCCTGTTGATTTCTGCTGAATAAACCCTAACATGATTTCGATAAAGTTCATTTTGCTGATAGAGAACATAGCTTTAGACATTAACATTGTCCTTCTGTCATTGCGAAGAACTATAGAGATTATCATTATCCTGCAACATCAAAAAATTTGATATTCAATAGTTCTACTGAAATTGGATTGTGAAATAGTCTGTTATGGTCCCAATACACTATTTTGATTCTCTTTAGCTCTCATAAGTTACCATGTACAGATTAGTTTGAGATGGAACAGCCTTATTTGCCTTGAAATAATGGTTTTCTAGTAGTAGTATGAGACCTGAACAGTATATACAATTCGTAGAGAACCCTAGTTTATGAGGGATTGAAATGTTGTTTATTATCTATTGGTTCTTGTAAATTATTTGTCTGTTTTTGTTCGACACTAGCCATATGCATGTTTGTGGTGCTTGGTGAAGAAAAGGTTCCCTTTTCATACTATGACTTGCTTTATTCTTTCTTTAGTAAGTTGGATATAGAAATGCTTCTTTGACATAGAAGCAGTGCATGTCCTACTATTTATACACAGACAGAGTAGAAAAGGCCAAACGTAGGTCAACTCTCAGTTATCAAGAAATAAGAACTTGAAAACTCTTTTGCTGCTCCTGGCGGAGTTTGATATATGTATGAATAGTTAAACATTATACACAGACAAATATATGTAGCATCTGTTAGATAACAATCATTTGTTTCGACCTTTTGCTAGCATGCTTTAACAACCTTTGGAGTGTATATGGTCAAATCTTCACACCATCTTCGGTTTAGGAGAATAGTTGGCCCTTTGCCATGACCTCCTTGCATGAATAACATTCTCAGTTGTTTGGCTATTAGGTGCTTCTAGTTTCCTACTATACTCAGGCAGTTTGTTCTGTTTTATGTTTGTAGTCTCATAATTGATCCGCATTTTTACATCTTTGGCATTTCTTTGAAATGGAATTCTATTTGTTCCTTGTTCTGAGGTGAAGAAGGCCACCTCTTTGTCCCGAACTCGGATTCAATCCACATCCCTTGCTTGAACCTTCTACTCTTAACTCAATTCAATAAGATTTCCTTGTCAAGTGAATCCATTTCTGAGATTGGTAGTAGTAACCTAGAGTCTGCAAGTCACGGGGTGGCCATAACATAAGGCTGCAAGTATTTCGGACAATGTAAATCTCTGGTCCCTGCATTAGGGTTGAATCATATTAATTGTGTTTTGCAGTCCCATCTTTTTTGTGGAAATACTAAGATGGTGGAGACTCAGATTTGTGTGGCTGCACAAACTTCTTTCCTGGTGGCTTCTTGATGTTTCAAATCTGTATCTTGAGTTTTCTTTGACAATTCTTGTCTTATTAGTTCAGGCGCACAGTTTATTTTTATCAGTCCGTACTGTGGCGCTCTCTTTTACGAAATGCATCATATTTTCATTGCCAAAAGCACTAAGATTGAAGTAGGCATCATCTTGTAAAACCAAATAACAAAAAGGGATGATGTTTCCCATTACAAAAAAAATATTCGTTTGGTATGTGTGATGGGATTAGCAATGATATCCAATGAGAATATTTTATCTCACCTTTTTCATCGAATAAAATCTCAGTATTTTAGTTCAAACGGTGAGAGATAAATAAATTCTAGTATTATGTCGGAATTATTATGTTTATCCCACGAACCAAACGACCTCAAGAGGCTAGAGAATGACATAACCAGATACTATTTATGATTTCCTTAACTACATACTGAATTTGAGGAATCCATCAGGTGGTTTGAGCCATTTGACTAGAATGATATGAACAAGTTTGCTATTTCCATCATATATAGTAAGCTTGATTCCAGTTAGATAGGCTAGGTAATAAAGAGTATTTGGTGGAAACAAATGTACTGAAACTTAATGTTTATGTATGCCCATTATGGTTCATAATATTTGGAGAATGATACTCCCCGTCCACTTTTAATTGTCATAGTTTTCTTTTTTTTAGAAAAATTACAATTTACGGTACTTTTCGTATAGTTTTTGAATATCTAAATTTTTTATTTAAAATATCGAATTAATGTAATCTAATATATCTTTGAAAATTAGTCAAATTGATTTTTGAAAAACACAACATGACAATTAAAAGTGGGCAGAGGGAGTATATGATTAATGCAATAATAGCCTATATTTTATAAAATCAAGTTCAATTATTGTAAGGCACACTTAAATCTTAGAGAGGAAATTTTTAAAGTTAATCCAAACACCACAATTATAAACAAAATAAAAACATTTTATTACTTGATATATATAACTAGCAAACTCAAAAAATATAAAGGAAAAAAATATTAATCTTTCATTTGAATACCACTAACTAAGATTCTTGAACAAGTTAGGAACTCGGATCAACAATTTTTTTACATCATAGAAAGAATTAGGTCAAATAGATGTTCCTCTATATGGGAAGAGTCGTCCTTACTAACACGGTATGCTTTGTCCACTAGATCATCTTATTTTAGTCAAATAGACTATGTAGCATTGCACTCTGGTGGTAGAACTTTGTATCTCTTAGTATCTTGACAATATGAGTAAAACATATGTTTTCTCCTAGCCCAATCCAATCCTGCCATCTGTTGTGATGATAATTTCATAAATCCTTCTCCATCAACAGGGTCTAAACTTGAAGTACTACTTCTCTTAGAACATGTAGGAGTTAATATTGAAGAAGAATTAGTATTATTTTGTTGTTGCTTTATACAACCTTCTAATTCTATTCCTTTCATTGTTGTTATAAAAGGTGCATAATTGTAGTTTACAGGGTATTTTCCTCCATGTGTTGCCCATTCTGATCCATCCCATATTGTCACTATAATTGACATTGGCTTTGATGGGTAAACTGAAGAGATTGCTGTGTTGTGAACCACTTCTCTTATTGGTACATTGTCCACAAGAAATCTGTTGAAATTTACAACAAAATTGTCAACTTTTGAATCCAAGTAGATAAAAGTATATATAGTTCCAAACATAATGGGGTGTAGCTTAGTTGGAGAGATGTCTATTCTTCCGAAATGGATTGAGTTAATAAATAAGCGAGTCAATAATCAACTTAAACTTAGACGAGTTATGATCATTTCATGGGCTATTCTCTCTCAATAATAAATAAACTTAGTCAATAATCCTCTACGCATGACTTTGTCTTGAAAATCAGACAAATAAATTGAAACAACGGACTTACACTATATGATGATTGTTCCAAAGGATGGTATAGTCATGAAAATCCAAAGTTGGATCAAACCATAGGTAGAATTTTTCTTCTCTTCCAGTGTGAACACTTCCATTTCCATAAAGATTTGTCTGCAAAACCCAATCCCTTCTCTTCTCATGTCCAAGCAATTCAAAGTCTATTTCATCATGGTTGTGTGGAAACACATCTGAATTTGACATCTGAAAATTGGAAAGAAAAAAAAGATATACTTTACGAGATAATTTATAGCCACAAAAACTTTTATAGCTTGTTTTTAAATCACAAATTTCAAAAGTCGTACTTCGAATAGGGACATAGGGAGTACTAATTACCGGCATGCATGAAGTAAGTTGAGAATCAGGAAATTTCATGTTTATTAGATCATGATTATTTTTCATATCCACCCACGTTTTGACGAACATAGTTACTAGATACTGTTGGTGGAACATAACAAATACATCGTAAAATTAATTGAAGTGTGTATAAATGAAAACTTACATAAAAGGCAACTACAACTCCTGATGTAAAATGAGCAGGCAATTTTAGTGCAGCATTAAAGAAACCATAGTAATATTTCTCTTTAGAGATTAGTCCAGAACCTGTGGAGTGACAAAATAAATAAAAAAAGTTATTAATAATTTATCTAAGTTATAAACTATTTTAAAAAATGAAATTGTTGTAGTGTACCTGAAGATTTATCTAAAATAATTTCAGCACTTGATCCATTATTTGTCATATGAATATTAGAACCTCCATAAAACACATTATAACTCTGATTAACCGATAATCGACTAAAATGATCGGTTAATTTTTCGATTTCTGGAGGTTTATACACTGGACCTCGACATGAGACAACAATAATCATGCATAAAATCAAGAATTGTGATAATACAATTTTTCTGTCATGAAGGAAAAGTTCCATTTTTTTATTTTATTGTTTGTAATAATGAGAATGTGTGGGGCAAAAATGGGCTATTTATGGAGTGAAAAAATATAGATGAAAAAAACATTGTCCTTAGTTGTAGCAAGCTGTATGTAATTGTCTTCTAAAGAATCTAATTAAATAATTTTAATTGATTTGTGGACAGTGATTAGAAAGCTCATGTGCTATAGAGAAAGACATGTTTTTGGAAAGAACCCTCATGGTCCAAAAACTTTTTTTCCATATTCCAATATTCGATATTCGTTTCACTAAATTTAAATTCACGTCAAAAAACTTCATATTGAGGGGTTAAATAATCCGTCATACAGACGATGTTATGTTTACTAGTTGAATATATAAAATTTTAAATTATAAATGAAGAAATATTTATTATTTCACGATATCGTTATTTGTATTCGTGGACCAAATTGAGTTCAAGTGGGAGCCATGCTACAACAAAAGTTACGACTTTTATTGATTGTTCGGTGAAAGCATTAATTAATAGTACTATATATTTATTGACATATTCATGTACTACTTTATTAGTATTATTGGAATTGAGATTGGACTTATTGACTAATGGGGTCATGAATTCGGTTCAATATTCTTTGATACTAAATTAAAAGTTTATATATTTAATGTGATTACATTCTCTATATATTCCCAAGTCAGAAATTTCACAAACGATATTTAAAAATAATACTAGTGAGATTCAAATATGTGAGCACTATCTCATTCCAAGCATCTGAAATCACTAGGCTATAACAATTTGTTGTGTTAAGGGTGTCCAAAATATGTTATTTAATCATTTCGTATATCATTTTACTTATATATACGATATTTTTTCAAATGTAACCTTGACAACCATTTAGCTACGCCACTGCAGTCACATCCATAGGTGGAGCCACCGTAGGCAAGTTATGTAATTTATTATGAATATTTATTTAATTTTATATATTTTTAACATAATTAAGAAAAAAAAATTATATATTCTTCGTCAAATTTCGAAATCTGCGGCTACAAAATTTTGTTGGGGAAATGGACGAGGAACAATTGGAGATGAAATTATAGATTTGCGTAATACATTCTGCTGCTGCTTTTGTCTGTGTTTCAATCAACAGCTGTTAATTGACACAAACGCGTCCAACTAGCCCAACTTGATCCAACAAATTCCCTATTCTCTTATTCTTTATTATTGCATTATTTCTTATGTATAATGATGTTTTTGTAATTATTATTAATTTATTAAAATTGTCATTTTGATTAACAGTAAAATTTATAAAAAGAAATTTAATATAAATGAATTAAGACCGATCAAGTTCATTTTCTTAGAGCTAAAACATCAAAGTTGTGGTTTGTTATTGTCTATGACGCTTCCATTTAATTCTTTTATAGGCCATAAAAGTTGAATCGTCGCCTTATTATGAAACGCCAGCTTACTTGATAGAAAAAAGTTGTTTCATAGCACGTGCATATGTTATGATACTTTGACTAAAGTCAATTGGAGTAGGTGGACTTGCGGTTTGAAATTGATTGTTGAGCTCCCGAGGGTCATTATGATTGCTTCCGGCGGTAAAGCGGTCTTCCCTGAGTAAAGTCTCTTTCGAATGTCCATTGTCCAACCATATGTCGGTTCTACATGGGTAGATACTCGAGGCTCTTCGTGACACCTCAGGAATGGCTTCTTCCATACTCTCTGGATCGTCACATATATTAATTCCATCGTATTTGATTATGTTACCTATCATGGTTTGATTTGCTCTTTTCACTATATCTAAAAAACATATTCTTCATACAATTACTGTCGGTTATTTGATTCACTCACGTAATTACTAATGACAGTCATTCTTATTCAAGAGGTGTTAAGTAATAAAATTATAGGATAATTATATATTAATAATAAAAGAAATTAGCAATGAATAAATTAAACTATTAAAACATAAAATATTAAATTTGATGTAAGTAATTCTTGTGTATTAATTCGTTCATTATTAATGGATCCTTATAATGTTTGAGCTAATTATTGGACTAGTTACTACTTAATTGAATTGAATTATTTCATGTAATTAAGGAGTTGAAGAAAGATTTTGTGGGATACCTTAAGGAATGATGAGATTGTAAAAAGATTTTATGAGATTTTTGGAAAAGAAATGCTTGCATTAAGGGAATAATTAATAATGGGATACACTTACAAATTAGTATTATTAAGAGTATAAGCCAAGAACATGTCTTCATAATACATAAATTATAAGCTCACAAATAAAATTTAAAAAATAATTAAATATGTTGTAAAAATTTGAAGATTCATGGCTTATTTGTGGATGGAATTGAGTGGTATTGTTCCATTGATCTCATGTTATCTATCTTAATGATTTGTATTAGTTTGATGGGAGAAAAATTAAAGAATATGACCATATTTTGTTGAACTTGAAAATAACTTGTTTAAGAAATAGTGATTTATTGATTTTTAAAGCTTTAGGTTGAATCTAATTACTGAAAAAAGTTATTGAGATGGAGAGTTTTTCTATTCTCGAAGTTCAAATGTAAGATTTCTGTTTAAAGATAGAGGAATCTCAATCATTCCATCACAACTCATACCGATAAACAAGTTAACATTTGTAACAACTAAACACCAATATGTTCATTCTTCTAAATAGATATTAGTTGCAAGAGGACCGTGCTAAACTTATTAAGATATAAAAGTTGTAATTTTATTAAAGAAATTTAATTTGTATCATATTTTTTACTGCGTAATCAATTTAATGTAGTGATTGTTTAATTATGTATTGGTTGATAAATATTTATAATTGTTAAAGTTCTAAAGTCACATAATTAGATAATTTTCTTTAAAAAAATTATTCATGAGAAAGCAAGTTTAGCAAAAGATTAGCAAGCATCAAAGGAACACAAGTAATAACATGACTTAGTACGTAAAATGACTACCAAATATGATAAATTTGAGGATAAAATCTCCAAATTTCAAGACAAAGTGCTAAAAATTCTAATTGGTTTTATTATTTAAAATTAGCGGATTTAAACTAATTATGATATCAATAGAGTCAATTCAAAAACTTAAATCAAAAGTGATCTAGACCCCTATTTTGAAGTAATCATAAATAATAATTAGTATAAGACTAATTATCTTCTTTAATTTACTTTAATAGAAATCAAAGTTATCAACTTAAAGAATTAATATTAAATCTTAAAATATTGTGCTTATAAGTTTGTAACTTGTAAAATAAATCCATTATCACCATACAAAAATGTATAAAGAGGAGAAACATCTCAAATAATATTTCGATCATATCTTCTGAAAATAACAAAATTATCCCTAAATATAAAAATAAATCTATCTCAAATAGCATAAGTCTCGAATCTTACTTTTATGAAAATAATAAATAGAAAATCTAACTAAAAAACTTTAATTCAGGGAAGGAAGTAAAAAAAATACTTTCAAAACTAGCTAACAAAAATAGTCGACTTTGTTTACTCCAAAATCACACTTCCTATTTGAGCAACTTTTTGGGCTTGATTCTTCAGTACTTTGGCATTCATATCAGGACCAAAAGCAACTTTTTTGGACTCATTTGGGCCTCAAATGTGGCATACAAAATCAGTTTTTCTGGGCTCCTTGTTGGGGCTTCATTTGGCCCAATCTTCTTTCTTAGCTTGAAATTGGATACTTCTTTCGTGATATATATTTTTTTGATTTTCTATTGAAACCCATCAATTTTAATGGATGTATATCATTGTGAATGCTATCAGGTGAGGTGGAGCGGGCTTATCTTAAAATAAGTTTTATAGAGTGACGACTAGACTGATTTTGTTGTATAGGCTGGAATGATGATCATTTACGAACTCCATGTTCAGAAGATGCAAGTTGCGGAAGTGAGGATGTTGAGACTGATGTACGGACATACTAGTAGTGATAAGATTAGGAATGAGGATATCCGAGTCAAGGTGGGTGTAGCTTTCATTGTAGACAAGATGAGGGAATCTTTAGGGCATTTCCAACCCAATCCTCTATTTTACTCTCCAAATATAGAGTTCTCTATTTTTTCAGACAACCAACTCCAACCCAATTCTCTATTTTACTCTCTATAAAAGAATCATTTTCTCTCTCCTCAATATTATATTATTATTTCTATTTCATTCTTATTTTCTTATTTCATAATATAAATCCTTTTATCTTTTTGCAAATAATCACTCTATAATCTTTACGTAATACAAAATTTTATTTTTTTTCAAATTCTTCATTAATATAAAATTATATTTTATTCTAAATTTCTAAATAACATAAATTGCAA